GCTCCAGCTGCTGTCCAGGGTATTGATGTATTTGATGTGCCGGCTGACCTCGACCTCTGTTCCCCCCACTCTAATTAGCGAGCGGGTGGGAACTGCACCTCTGCGTTTCCTGTGGTTCATCATACGCGAGGTTTCACAGAAGGGGTCCTACGACCGACCCCTGGGGAACCCTGCATGTGAACACCCTTCGACATTTTTCGCCGTCCCGAGTCATATACGATATGGACCTGTCGCAGAGATAAACCCCGATGATGTCCCGCAGGTAGGGGGTCAACTAGTGATACACCAGTGCCTCCCTAATCGCCAACCACGGGAGGGAGTTAAAGGCCTTGACTATGCCAAGACTGACGGCCAACGCCACTCCCCCGACAGACAACCTCACAATGCGTATACCTATGAACATTATAAAAATTAAAATCGCCTGCTGGTAAAGTACTTTAATAATTTTACGCAGATGGCTTTCTTGGTTTTTTTTTAAATTAGCTTATCATCACCCGTGTTTTCGTTAGTGCTCTCGGATAGTATATTCTATATTATATTGTAATATTTATGTACCAGAAAATATGCTATCAATACTGTTTAGTATATCACATCAAAACATAATATTCAGATATATTATTTCATTTTTAAATACATATCAAGCTCAATACAACCTTTCCAGACGGGAAAATACTTATTTGTAACTACATATAGATAGCTTGAACTTGCAAAACTTTGGACATAATCTCAGATTACAAAACAAAAGGCTTTTTTTAATCTGAGGATATAATATGAAAGTTCGACAATAGTATCGAGTTGATTAGTGATGTTGTATTTAGTAAGCACATCACTAGTAACTTTGTGGTACCTAGTATTACAGTTCGCATAGCTAGGTATATAAGGCTAGCTACTGTATAATATATAGTATACCTAGTACTATAATATTATAAATTAGCTAAACTTTAATCAAAACAACAAAAATAATATGCCAATAGTATATGCTTTTCTTAACCTACTAACTACCTTCGCGATAGGGAGTCGCGATCGTTGAGTCAGCTCTGTGTCCCAAATTCCTATGCACACCATCCGCTATATTTCTACACTGGAGATACAACTTTATGTCGCTGACATTAGAAACTAAACTGACTTTTATCTACAAATCTGAGGGCTATTGTTTCATAGATCATGCTACTCGCAAAGTAACATAACATAGTATCAATGTCTAGCATATGCTTTATGACCATAAAACTATTTGAAGAAACTGTTACAGTGTATTATTGTCCTTGCTTTTGGTGTTAGGTTTGGCCTTTATATTACTTAAGCGAAGTTTCATAACTAATTGTTAAAAGAATTTATGATATATGTGTAAAACACTTTATTTCATCGATCTACTAAAGACCTATTTACCAAGATCAGAAAAAACACAACGAGGTACTAAATAAAAAAACAAACTTTAAATTGGAGCGCATGCAATTGAATACGAACTGGTTGCAAGCGTAAAAAATTTACGCGTTGCCATACAAAATAAGTTTGTTTAAAAAATATATAATACAGAACATTTCTCTATATAGATTGTGTGAAAAGGAATGCATGTAATGAACAATTTAGTGGAGTCGACCTTCAAGGCCTGAAGAATGTATTCCGATGCAGCTACTTTGCTATTTTCTAAGAAATGTGGCAGACGCGTGTCTCACGCACATTTTTTCACGATGTTTCTATAAATGGCCAGCGTAAGCGAAGGTAAATGATTTGACACTTATTATTTATTTTCTCTCTTTTAATAGTATCTAGTGCTAGCAAATAATCTAATCGTCAAACCGAATTGAGTGTTTTAGTTATTTTATCTTACATCAACGAATTAGTAGATAAAAACGTTTTTATACCTCATACTAAATGATACCGCTGCACCGTGATTAAACTTGATATTTTCGTATATACGTTGATCTATTTCGTAAAAGGATGGTACGAGGTAGGTTAATGATTTAAAATCTGACACCAACGTTGGAAACGCTATTTACTTAAAGGTAACTTATTTCTGTATTTCAAGTATCAAATTTGAAAGCACTCACTATAAATTCCTTTGCCTTCTTAGCGCCAGCCTACCTGTAGTGTAAAAAAAAGTATTCTGGCTGCAGGGCCGCGTCGGCGCTTTTGAGATAATTTATAAGGCTCTGCCTTTCTTGGAATTTCGAAATCTCGTCGAGATAGCTTCGTGCCCAACCCGTGGCTGAGGGGACTGGAATGTAACGGATCTGTATAGGAAAAAATAGTGCATTGTAAAAACATCCATTGTGATACGTTTTCGTAACGTTTTCTCATTTAAAACTGAATTGACTACGTATTTTAGTATCGTAGTTTAATTGACTACAATAAATTCTGTTTAATTTGAATAAGATGAATTCACACAATCTCATTACCATTAAGGTTGCATCGACTATTCATAGCATATGGGACAAAAATATTTATAACGATAGCAATACTAGCATATACATAATGTCATATTATATAATTTGCAACCTATATACCTTTGATTATTTAGAATCTAAGCTAAATACCTTTCTTTGTGATGATTTTGTCATTCTCATTCATAGACAGTTTTCCTTTGCAGAGTATCACTAATTGAAAACACCTCCAAAATGCGTTAAAAGAAGCGAGCCTGTTTTGCAAATCATTTACAATTCTTAAATTACGCATAGGTATTATTAGGTATAGGATATGCCAATACATTAGTTTAAAAGACTTGACAAATACCTACTCAAATAATAATTAAAAAAAAAAGATTTGAGGATCGCTTAAGGTCCTAAATAAGGTTTTATCATACAATATTTTTTTCAACTTCCCAATATGGTTATTATTGGTTATTCATTTTTATTTGACCATTTGCTTAATCTGAAGAAACAATAAACAAGTATACATATAAGAATACTTTATTACTTCTACATATAATTTATTATAGACAGCTTTTGCTAGCTTATAACATCAATACATAATACTTATAGTACTTGTGCCCGCTAGCTTGGTACTTCGTGCAACTGATCCCGTCCCGCGGGCTGCGGCACGGAGCGAAGAGTTCTGGGAAAAGCGGACCGCATACCACGCTGCGAGGCGCTATTGGAGCGCTTTGCCTTGTACCCGCCTGCTCTGTCAATGACAACATATTTCAGACGCGCCATAACCATTTCTTAAATAATGTTAAGAAATAGAGTTATTTCAATTATTTTTACAATTCAAACTAAACAGCTGGATGTAATATTAAGAGTTTTTAACTTAAGTTTAGTTTTTTAAACTACAGTGTATACGTCCTCGTTGGCGCGCAGGGTAGGATTAATACTGATGTTAACACACTGTTATAGACTCGTTTCCCGTCTTGTAGATTTTTTTAATTACAATTGAACCATTTACAAAAGTATCACATAATCTAAAAACGTGTCCGATAAACGCTAACAGTCCAAAAATATAACTAAAAAATACAATATAAATGCATCTCTGTCTAGAAATCTATGTAAATATTTTTTCTCACATAACGTGAAGAGAATTCGTTGTGCGCCCTTTTAAACAAATGTAACAGATAAAATAAGTATGAGAGTAAAATTATCTTCTGAGAAAATAAAACTATGAATGTGGCGATTATATAGATGGCATACTTGTGCCTGTTCTTAATCAGTTTTGTTAAACGTAATCACCTGCCCAGTAACACAAGCCAACCATTTGTTAGCTTCAGATAGAGGATTTATAAACTCCGTAACCTACCTACAGATACACATTTATTTCTTTTTGTTGCAACAGGAACTACAAAATACAACTTAAATATTGATTTCTATAGCTGTGTATTTTTATGGTAGGCATTATGTGCACGCAGAGGATCAGTGAACATTTACTCTATGAACCCTGTTAAGCCACGATATAAACGCTATAGGCACCACTCTCAAGCCGGGTTCATTCATTAAAATACGAGTATGAATTTATTAGCTACGTGCGTCTGTGGTGCATCGCCGAGGCCAGACAGACCTTAAAGATGGACGAGATATACGAACATATACGACATACAATTTTCTTTACACTACCTATCAAAAAGGATTAACAGGCAACTAGAAACATTTGAACAAAAGTTTATATTAAAGATGGGTAAATTAGATGGATTTTATTTAATGCATGAAAGAATTAAGGAGGTGCAAGCGAGGTGAAGAGTAAGGGATGAGGGCGACAGCTGCAAAGCACGTGGAACGGCAGCTGGTTCCGAGCTGACGACGCGCGCCACCCGCGCAAACGCAAGCTGCGCACGCACCTGCCAACGTCAAATATTGGGTACATTTTTTTTAATATATCATCAGAGATGCCTTGATTAAATTAACAACTGTTAAACGACATAGTAAACAGTATAATTATCGTACTATAGTAATACTCCTTTATGTAGATCTGATGTAGTTGAGTGGGGTATATATAAAGACAAAACTAAAATGCAATGACGTCTTTACTTTAATTTTTAGATCATATGATAATAATGCATCATTATCATCATCAACAACCTAAATAGACCACTGCTGGTCATACGCCTCTTCTTAGAAATGAGGTTTTGGCCTGGTAGGTATACCACGTTGGCCAAACGGGTCGGTTTCAGAGGTAGTTTGTTAAGTTAGTATAATAATTTAATTAATATAAATAAAACTGTTTAACAACAACGTAAATGACGAATGATCTAATATAATTGGACCTGCGCATTGATTACATACGATGTGTTTTACGTAGGCCACGTTTATCATCGTATCACAATCACAAGTAAAACTGACTTGTTGTTAAGCCATTTAGGCGCTCAAGCGCAGCAGTTGTACACATAGTGTTCTTTAAAAACGTAATAAACCTTATTGACGTTAATTTGTTTTAATTTATATCTTGATCTATAATTGTCAATTGACAATTTCTCTAGAGTTTACAATCTGTGTAACTGTTATTTTTATTAATTTTAGGCAAAAAAAATGGCATAAACAGTGGAAGTGTAAGTGAAAATAAATAAAAAATAAATGATGGAATCGGCTCAGTCAACAGATGTAGTAACAAATGCATCTGATGACGATAAGGATGCTATACAACCTAGTACATCAGAAGAAGGTAAGACAAGGAACTAACTATGCATATTTATTCACCACGTAGTATAAACGTATTTTAGTTATAGTTTTTATTCATTTGGTAATATCGAGAAACTAAACGATAATAAAGAAGTGTATACGCCTTCAAAGTTCAATTTTTGTTCAAAATACATAATTACCATTGTGTGTTAATCTTGGTATTTTTTATATAGAGGTTATATATCTGACGATGTTTAATTTAGATGAAATAATCTAATTACTAGAAACTAGTAATGTCTATAAGCATTTACTGATTTGGAACAAAAATGTAATTTAATTGCAAAAACTACGCTACTAAGCTACCTATTTGCATAACAATGATAGTATTTCTGTCAAATAAAGCAAATAAATTTCCTTAATTTACTTATTACATAATACAGATGGTATATCATAACATTACATTAAAACAATAAACGTATTTTATGTGTACATCACACACTAAAATGGGAAGTATAAAAACATAATATAATTATGTAGATAAGGTACATTTGCGTTTAAGTAAAATACAAAAGTAATACACATTTAATAGATTCTCCCATAAATCAGTAGGAAAATATACAAAAAACGAGGCGGCTCTTATGTACGATAAAACTACTTTAAGATAAATTGGAACATTTAATTTGCTGATATTTGAATGAAGCTAAAATAACAATTGATTTGAATTGATAGTAATATTTAAGATTGACTACGATTATGACAATTTTGTTAATATTTATTTATTTTGTTAATGGGAGACACAAACTTTAAACTGGCAACACAGGTTACAAAGTTTGAGCTGTGCGATGAATAGTTTCTGAACGAACGTAGCCGAATAACGCAACGCATTTGCCTCACTGCTTTCAGCTTTGGTTGTTGGTTGGTCGGGCGGCGATCGATTGTGAGCATACGTCACGTCACAAGTCAGAACGTCATACGTTAGTTTAGTCGCGAGTTTTGCGCTCATGTTGGGAAGTTGTGTTGTTTGTTTATTCGTGTTTGGCTGACAAGTGAGAGTGAGAACTAGGCAGCTAGTGGGTACCCGGGAACAAAACATTGAATTCATGTTATTGTGCTTTCTAATCTAATTGAAACTACACCAGGATTAAAAATGAACAACACTATGAAAGGTAAATTTGATTTCCTTGCATAACCTTCTCTCGTCAACCGTATGTTGCTCGATTTGGAACGAGTCGACGTCATTTATTTTTGATAATAATAGATCTGTATTCTTATTACAGTACTGGGTTTTTTGTTTTTTCTTATTATCACTCAAACCAAAAACATAGTACTGACAATATTACTTTACTCTTTCTTAATAGCATTCGCAATCTGCCTTTGAGCTATACTTATATGGAAACAAAAGTAATAAGATCAATATAAGGAAATTATATAACCTCTTAGAAATGGATTTCAAACTTAAAAATTTGCTTAAAAGTTTGCTCATCGAATTTCTTAGTTCTTTTATAGAAGGTCTCAGAATAAATCAATGTTTTTCTTTGCTTCTCTCTCTTTATTATGTTGCATGCAACCAATATAGCAAAATCATTATTACCACATTCTTAAATTGTAACGCCATCTATCAAGTGAAAAGAAGATTATAAATGGCACTACAATGTTGGTACATAATAATTTTATTATTTTTAATGCTGTCTATCAGTACATACTTCATAGGTATAGCGTAATACTTCCAAGAACTTATTTAATCTGTCTCTGGGACTTGTACTTGTTCACAATCATTAAAAGTTGATAAGATATTGTCATAAAATAAAGATAGAGTATAATATAAGCTCAAGTTTCTTTAACATGTTAGCATATCATAATAGGATACTTGTAGTTGAACACAATATTGTTCCAAAGTTATAAAGAACATTAAGTAGGTAGTTATTTTTTGTTTGTCGCTGTCAGTGGCCTTGCCATTTGATTTTTCTCTACCCAACAGAGCCTCTGTGCTCAGTGTTACCAAATTAGTGAGTACATGTTGCTATAAATTATCATAACCCATTAAATCATATATCTTACTTGATTTATTTACTCATAATTCATATTCAGTATAACAAAAGGTGTATCATACAATATTGTGTAAACTCAGATATGTGTTAGATATTAACATAAAATGAAACCCTAACAATAGCTTACCTAATTAACAAAAATCTTGTATATTATATCATGTTCCATACTCATCAAATAAAAATTATATATTTCATGGCTACACATCAAATAAGTAGTATAAGGAGGAAAAATGCTTTGCCTTTTTAACTCTTTTTGTTAATTGTCTCCAATTGTAATTTTTAGCTGTTTTCCTGTATGTTTCACTTTTTGTCTGGTTTTAACACAACTGCTAGCGCCATCTGTTAGGCGCTGCGTACAATACGAGTGCAGTTTCTATAAATGATGTGGAAGTAATTTATAGTATACAATAAATCATTGATAATTAATTTTACCAGTATTTAATTTTTATCAATGCAACTGCTAGCGCCATCTCTTAGGCGTTGAGTTCAATTCGAGTGCAGTTTTTATTAATAATTAAATAAGTATTTCATTTTGAAGTGCAATTATTATATTACTGCAAAGAATGCAATATTTTTCAGCAGTTGCATTTTTTGTGTTTAAAGTCCGTAAAAGTAATGATAAAATAATAAATTTTGGTTAACATGTAGTTACCCATTAGGTATATTTGTTTTACAGTTTTAAGAAAACTTAGTGCAAGTTAAAAATGCCGCAACATTCATTGCATTTTATACCTACCCAGGTATTTATAACCTTTTGCGATCCGAATTCCGTTCAATTCGTCAAAACTTCTTTAGGATTTTAAAACTCATTAAAAGGCCTCATGTTTTACATCTTATCCTAGTAGTTACATTCGTTTAACACTTAATTCTGTCCTCTTTGATATGTGTGTGCCCCATCTGGCGGATGTTGCCTTCCGCTGACACCGATTCCGGACTATCCTTTAGTTTATTTTTTCAACTTTTATGATGAGTGAAGCCACAGTTTGTTTTAAAACTACGTTAAATCAACAAGCAATTATTTCATTCATACTGTCTATTTATAGACAGAGACTTGTTAAAGATCAGAACGACCTCACTTTAGGGGTAATGAGTCTAAACATTGAACTGAAATAACGTAGACGTATGTAGCTAAATAGATAGCAGTCTAGCGCGTAGGCGCTACAGGCGAGGCATTGGAATTCGAAAGCCGAGCGCCGACCACCCATAGGCATGAGAACATGGCCCCGTCCCCTTCCCCACGCTTGCTCTCCCGGCCGGCGCCGCCTCTTGCCGCTCTTTTAAGGCACAATGCTGAATTTCATTTCCTTTTTGCGTCGAGTGACGTGGACTTTGCACATGATAATATCAGTTCGCCTGGACTATAGGGCTTATATTTACTTACTACTGTGTAGTTTGCAACATTTATTATGTACGTTGGCCACAGGATAATGATTTTGTTATTTGTCCTGTTAAATTTTTTATTTCAAAACCATTTTGATATTACACGTTTACGCTGTACTTTCTTCCAAACTAAGTACAGTCCACATTCTTTGGTGTTGGATTAGGCCCGCCCCCATCAGTAAACTACTGCCACATTCCAAAGCCCCTTTTTTACGTTGTGTGGTCGCGAGTTTCCGCTGAAGACGGCAACGTCGCGTTTCAAATATGAATGAAATCCGGTCGACTGTGAACGACACGGCAACGTCGCACCAGACGCTAGGCTGATTGAGAACTTACTATCAGTGTTGCCACTTGTTTGAATAGGGAGTAGTCCCGAAATACTGCAAAATTTTAACGTAGTATCCAGGGTGAAAAATAAGTTGACTTTTTATGCTTTATAAAGAAATGAATTAATGATTAAATATCATTAATTCATTTATTTTTGTGATGATTATCTTGGTCTATAAAATAGTAGCAGTATAGATCTAAGACGGAAGTACCTACTACTACTAAATTACTGAAACTTCATTTGTCTAAATGTTCCTTGTTAAAACGGAAACTAATAAGAATTGCACACAAGACAATAGACAGAAGTAACTAATGTAAAGATTCAATAAAAATTGAAGCACATTCGTTAACTATTTCTGGATTGAATTAAAATGAAATACGTATAGCCACACGGTTTCTATAAAATGCAACAGCTGTGCCTATTGGATTATTCAATGGCGCTTACGTTGTTCCCCATGTGTAGGTACAGTGGCGGTACTCCAGTCCGCGGAGGGTTCCAATCCGACAATTTGAACCCTCTTTTGTACTTACGCTTGCGCAGTAGGGTGGTCGTTGCAGCATGATGTCACCACTAGACGGCACAGTGAACGTGTAGCCAACGATGTTCATACCTATACAAACGCTTTTATTGTATTGCAAGCTTAATTTGCCTTTACTTTTTCAAAAATGTGCGAGTTATTTTGCAATGAGTGAATGTAGTGTTACGTGAAAAGTTTATTCTATTGTTGCCAAAATGCCTCTGTTAATCGACTCTAGTAGCAGAAACGGTAAATATTGATCCATCAAGTATCGGCGGCCATTAGCTGTTCTGTAGGCCTATTGTTTGGTGACTTACTGTATTTTTTGAACTATAATAATTCTTTAGATTGATCTAAACTGGTTCACAATGTGTTTAGTAATTTGAAAATAATACTCTTATTAAAAATTTGTTCAATTATTGACCTTTGTTCAGATATCTTATTAGTAAAAAAAATCGATGCTTGCCAGTCGCCACTATTTTTTCTCTCTTTATAAATAACAAACATGGACATGTTATGTAATGTAACTATTTTGATAAGAAACCTTAATATTGGTTACTGATATTAACTACTGGTTTGAAGGTAACGGGTTTCTTTCAAATGATACGTTAAATTCCTAAGCCATCATGTGTTCGGGAGTTCGGGGTCTATTAGAGTGCGGTTAGAAAAGCGATTGTAGTCATTCGGTGCATGCGCACTAAGTGCCCGGGGTACGACCGGAGGTGCGGGGGCGGTTGCAGGCAATGGAATGTCGATGACGCAGCCAGCCGGGCCGGCCCCGACGGCCGCGAACTTGTTATGTGAACTGTTTTTAAACGCACACTCGCTCACCGCTTATTTAGTACAAGCGTGTCCATGTAAAATGATATAAAAAAAATATGTTAAAATATTGTTACTAATTTACCTATCTATATGCACGGATTATACTCGTAATATATAGTCATGGTTTATGCAGTCACCTCGCCAACCGAAATTTCATCCATGTACAAAGATGATTGTAACATTTTCAGCTTTTTGCGGCATTAATGATAATTTGTAACTTCATGTCTTTACTTATGCATCAGAACGAGCAATAGTCGCCGTTAAAATATTACAGTTAAAAGTACGGAAGAAGACAGCCAAAACACAAATAAATGGTCTCTGATCGTATCATCATCGTACCTATTAGAAACGAATTAATATATTTATACACTACTCTCTTAATAGATAAGATAAAATGTTTTAGATTTTTTTAGTTTTAACAAATTCGAATAATTAATGAATGATTTTTTTTCTGTTACAGTGGCTCCAAATGTTTCTGCATCATTATACAAGAACAGACCGTTTCCGCTGTCAATCTTACCAGCTTCCGCGGCGCCGTCTTCTTCCACGCCCTCACCTCCTTCTTCGTATTCTATCGACAAAACGGACAACCGCGAGACCTTTGGCTTTAGTGACACAGTCGACATGCGCCGTGAAGATGAGAGGATGAAGACATTCGAAAAATGGCCCGTCACTTTTCTCTCTGCCGAACAACTCGCTCGCAACGGCTTCTACTACCTCGGACGCGGCGACGAAGTGCGTTGCGCATTCTGTAGGGTGGAAATTATGAGATGGGTCGAAGGAGACGATCCCGCCAGAGACCATCAGCGCTGGGCCCCACAGTGTCCTTTTGTACGCCAGCTCACAAACCCCGAATCTGCAGGGCGGGACGAATGCGGTTCACGTGTACCCGTGGCTGCGGCCTCGCGCATGCCTGGCCCTGTTCATCCACGTTTTGCCTCTGAAGCCGCTCGTCTGCGTAGCTTTCAGGACTGGCCTCGGTGTATGCGCCAAAAACCCGAGGACTTGGCTGAGGCTGGCTTTTTCTATACCGGGCATGGTGACAAGACGAAGTGTTTTTATTGTGACGGTGGCCTTAAGGACTGGGAAAACGACGATGTACCATGGGAACAACATGCACGTTGGTTTGACCGCTGCGCTTATGTACAATTAGTTAAAGGTCGGGATTATGTTCAAAAAGTGATGACACAGGCTTGCTCGCTCCCAGCGGCTAATGAAGCAAAGGAAGAAGTACCGGAGAAACCTTCAGTCCAAACTAATGCGTCAACGGAATCTACGGAAACCCCTGTAGAAGATAGCAAACTATGTAAAATTTGTTACGCTGAGGAGCGCAACGTGTGCTTTGTGCCATGCGGACATGTTGTGGCGTGTGCTAAGTGCGCGTTGGCAGCAGACAAGTGCCCCATGTGCCGCAGAACGTTTCAGAGTGCAGTCCGATTGTATTTCTCTTGAGAAGAGTTTCCGAATCGTAAGTTCGATTCTAGTCTTAAGGGACGGTCCGACGAAGGAGCGTATTGAAAACACGCTCTTTACGGTCACGTTTCCACAGCGGGCTTTACGGATAGTGCCAGTCTTCTAGGCTGTGATTAGAAACTCGCCGGTGTAACAAAAGAAAGACTGTATTCTAACAGCTTAATTACTTGAGTTTGTTAGTATAGGTGTAGTACTAATTTATTAATGTTGTTTTTATTACTAAAAGAAAAAAATATTTTTTGTACCTAAATGAAGATTATTGTGTTCTGAGTTTGAAGGTTATTATTCTAAAAGGTGTTACTAATCCAAAGTAGTAACATAAAATTATCTCATTAGACCATACAATGAAGTCATATGAATAACTTCACCATATCTCGCACTTTGTCTGCTGTGGAAACGGGGCTTAGGGCTTCTCCTGTGATTTTAATAAATAAAAAAACGGTGGGACAAACTTAAAACTTCAACGTAATAATAAGTAATACGATATGTTTGATGTTAATATTACTTAAATTTTAATAATAATAATAATAACAGCAACTCGACACATCTAACACACGGCAAAATAAGCAGAGCTTGTACTGTGGTAACCGGACTGCTGATAAACTTACTGTTTCACACATATTATAGATAAATTAGAAAACAGATGATCAAGCTCATCACGTGGTTATTCGTCATTGGTGGAAATCAAACGACGGTAAGCTCAGCAGTCAGGATTACTTTCAAGAATTTGTAATACACCTAACATTTCCTTCAGTGTTAATTTGTACTCTGACACAAAATTTGGTTTTGACATACAATGATCGACCAACTGACCTGTCTCTATGTGTACTAGAATACTAAGTCTTTAATGGTGTGCACTCTCTGCTTGTGACAAATAATGTAAATATTGTAGAATATACTTGTCCCACCAAAAACGTAGATATACACGTGAACAGCACAGTAAACACACAAGATGAACTATACAAATGGTGGAAAGGCATTCAGTTTTTGTGTTGTTTACTGTGCTGATCTAATGATGAACAGATTAAATTTATTGTAATAAAATGTAAATAAAAGATTTAATACTGACTGTTTCATATTTAATTACTTTTACTGATAGCATTTTTAAAAGACAAATTTATGTCTGTAGCATGTGCATAGAATTCAAGTAAAATTGCATTTAAAACACGTAATATTACGTGATTTTAAAACAAGTTGAACTGTACAAACTAAAAAACAATGAGTACTTCGACAGCATTAAAAAGTATCGAATAATGCAGATGCTTATAACAACATTAATTATTATTTCTATAAGTCCTCACCTGTGATTAATATTTTGAAGTAGTGGGACTATAATTTATTTGACATACAATATAAATAATGTAGAGAATTCATTTAAAAGTCATTAAAGTTGTTTTTCATGTGATTAATATTTCAATATGAATAAGAAATTTGTTAAATCATATACAGTTGTTTTCTTTTCTTCCATTACAGGAATCCTTAGATCAGGTATAGGCAAAATTGCTGGTGACACGAGATAATATCTGAGGCACGCCACTAATCACACACATATATAGATAGGTATGACCGACCGGCTGGTTGATTGGTTCTCGACACTCGAGTTACCGAAAAGTTATATGTAAAGTAAAGTTATATGTGTACTTCTAGTTTTATCGGTCTAAAATCCTTAGAAATACATGTTTCTTTTTGTTTTCAATTACTAGGCTAGAGTAACTTCAAACTTCTTTGAATACATTAAACCTTGGTCTTGGTCTATAACGGGCCACGATTTTTTTGTTTAGTGGGTATCCGGCTGAAGTAAACAAACCGTTGGTTTGTTACAACTAGGTAGTAAATAGTACAAGTAGGCATAATAGACAGGAGTTTGAACCCACCATGACCCACATCACATGGTTTGATCACCAGTACTATGTATCTTAGCCATGAATTATGTCGTTTACTAATGTAATAAGTATAAAGCAAAGACAATTCAGTTTAAAACAATGAAAATAAAGAAAAATTAAAAAAGGGTAAAGCAATTAAATACAATTTTAGCACAAGAATAGGTATTTAGTACCTATTATTTTATTATAAAAGTGCAATCATCCCATTAGAGATTTAACATATTTATTTTTAGATTGCAACAGTTCTTGTTTAAGTTTAGTTATTTCCTTCATCATTAGTTCGTCACATACATTTGCTTCTTGGATTTGTTTACACTTGCGCAAGAAATCTACTATTAGCTTATGGCCCTCCGTTGTTTCTTGAGATTCCACAGCTGTTTCCACATCGAACAAATTAATTTCGAGTTGAGCTTGTTTTGCTTCTGCGTACTGGAAATATAATTTTCGTTATTATGTTACATTTTATCAGAAACTAAGCATAATTAACTTAATTATGAGGCATTCGTATATATAGTTTTAGTAAATGACCGTTACTTTAAAACCATAGACCCTAAAACAAAAGAAATTTGTGAGAAGTAATTATAAATTTCATCTATTTTTGTAAGAAGCTTGCTACTATTTACTTGAAACTATTTACATGAAAACAAATAAATATATGTATGTATATTTCTAAAACCCTCAAAAGTCGTTGCATTTAATATTTCACACGGAACAGACCACCAAAATCTACTTTTTTTTTAATTTGACCACCCTGAAGTTGTGTAGGTCAAGTCCAGTTCTTTTCATTTATACGGATACGTCATACGGACCCCTAAAAAGTCATTTCAAAGACAGTTCGCACTATAAATATGCCTGTAGAGGAAGAAGTTGGTTGATGCCAATAGTGCAGTTGTGATGAGATGATTTGTACCATGAAAGTAAATAATGAGCCACAGCTGCGTCTCCGCTGTTCTGAAATCGACTTGCAAAAAAATTAGCCAAAAGCTGTAATGGTCACTCAAAAGGTAGACTGCATCGGTGGTGCAGTGGTAGCGTATGCGACTGCTGTGCTGAGGTCATGGGTTCAATTTCCGGGTCGGACTAAATGATTGTATGATCTGCAAATATTTGTTTCGGAGTTTGGGTGTTTTCTATGTACGATCTGTACATATTTACACAAAAAAATGAAAAAATATCCTATCAGTAAATCTAGCGTATTATGTATGTATAGTACGAACTCGGCTTAGTTCGAAACTAGATGACGTTGTGTGTTAGATGTCCGAAAATATTACGTACTATGAAGTTGGAGATTGTACAAAATTTAAAGTTTTGGTTATTTTATTTTTTTAGCTAATTAAAGTAATGGCCCAAATTATCTATACAATTTTACTATTTTGATGGTACGGTACGGTGGGTGACGGAGATCTTCCAACCGTATCTCTTGTAGCTTTCCGATGGTTTGTCGTGAAATGTGAGCTCGCGCGTTGTCGTGGAAAAGCAATGGGGAAGAGCGATTTATCAGTCGTGGTTGTTGTATTGCGAGCTTCTCCATCATGTTTGCAATTCTTGGCAATAGACATCTGGCGTTACTGTTATGCTTTTCGGTAAGAAACTGTGAATTACGTCCGGCACTGGTCCACCAGAAAGTTACCATAATCTTCCTATGGGTAATCTCTTTTTTAGCGCACTGTACCCGGGTCCACCCACTGAGGCGAACGCTTACGGTGGTCATACAGGATCCACTTTTCATCGCAGGTAACAATTAGATTCAGAATTCCCTTGTTTCTATGTCGATTCAGTAGTGCTATGTATGCTTCGACGCGCAAGTCCCGATGATGGTCACTCAAGTCGTTTGGCACCCACTTATCTAGCTTTTTTATCTTTCCGAATGACACTAACTTTAAAGCCCGCAGCAAGCTCTAAGATTGGGTAGGATCCGCTTCCACTATCGACTTTAATCCATCGTTGTCGACTATAGGTACCGGCCGACCGCGAGACTCGTTATTCAAATCAAAATTTATAGATCTAAAACGATTGAACCAATAATGAACCGTGTTTATGCAAGCAATGTTAAAAGAGTACACGTCTATAATGTTTCGAGTTGTTTGCGCAGTGGTATTTCCACGTAGGAACACATACTCGAAAATTGTACGATGTTCAGTTTATCCCTGGCGCCAAAAACTACCACAATTTTACAAAAACAAACACTGAGACAAATGACTGAATTAAAATAATATGGCCTTCGAATGAAATTTATTTGAATTTCGAATGGTGCGTCAATCCACAGATAATTAGATCTGAAAATGCTGGTTTAAAAATTTCCGATGTCATAGTTACAAGGCGTCTAATCAAGGGCAGAAATAATTGTTTCTAAAGCTTTATATGTAGAAATTCGGCATTTGTTGTAAATAAACGAAAGGTCAAAAGAATAATTAATTAATTTTTATGGAGCTGAAACAGAATTGTTAGTTATCCGTTATACCTCAATTATAGATTCGGGAAGGTCAGCCAATTTAGCAACATGTAAGCCAAGAGAGTGCAGTGCGGGCCCAGGTTCGATTCGATGTAACAGTAGCAGTTGCCCGTTCACTACGGACGCCTCAGCGTGTGAATTAACAACAACGCCTGGGTGTATGCTCGCCAACCGTGTTAGCTCTTGATAGTGAGTCGCAAATAGACAGAAACATTTACTTTTCGTCGCCAACTCCCTGAAATATAAACATTATTTTAACACAATATGCAGCTTAAAAGTACCAACTGTTTTGTAAACGATATTGGACAAAAATTATCTTAGTCAAGAGCTCATGCAGCGTGCCAACGAGTCATCAAGAGGATAGATTTACAGGCGGTAACGAACTGCATCTATTAAGTCTCCTGCATCTATTATTATAGTTAAATAGATTACAAAAAAGCGCTACATAGTCGCAGTCCACCTCTGGTGACTGGTCGTTGAGAGTCGCGCGACTACTGCTCGGCAGACGCGGGCCCGCTGCAGTGAGCCGATTATTTTTATACGTCCTATCAAGTCGCCGCGACGCCGCACGCTGCACTAGTCTTTATAAAAAAAACGTGTCGGGGGGGGGAACACGGGACCCTCTCATACCGGCTGACGCAAGTTTATTGGGATAGGATATTTCCGAGATCACCTCTGCCTTATCTGCAAGGAGCCAACATCCGGCGAAATGACCGGCATCGGTGTAGCAGTGGCGTGACTAATAATTTATCTTGTCAACATAAATTACAAAACTTTTAGTCATGGTGCCTACAAAATTTTCCTGTGCTGTGGTATGACTTAAGAAGTTTCAAGATTTCTCCCATGGTTATCATGCCTCTCCATCCCCAAGATCTCATTATCAGATCCTGGCCTAATGACAACCAACTATAGTACGGCCGCTGAGTTATTACCGATTTGACAGATTATTCTTAAATTAATCGATATAACCTTGCACGAGCGACACATTTGCCGAATGATTTAGAATACCTCTTTAATATAAAACTTTATGTCAAAATGTCAGAATCAAGTAATTTTTTCAATAAACTCGGTTTCAAAACTTAAAATACTTTGTAAATAATATGAAAACATTTATTTTTTGTTCTTTGGCGCGCTTGTACAAAGTTACATCGTGCGTCTAGTTTTCATAGTGATGTGCTTGATAGTATTCGGTCCTATATAATGCTACCATTTTTTTGCGTCTCCTAATAGGGAATATGCACGTGACACCAAAATGGACAAAATATTTTTATTTTTAATTGTTATTGCTAAAAAAAGATACCCATACAATTATTTTTGAAATTTATTATATTTTAATAGTGAAATTTAATCATCAAAAATTGGCTTTTTTAAGATTCCCTCGCAAATTTCTAAAACGCAACGCTATTGGTTGAATAAAACGTGACGTCAACCTACACTGTCAAGAGTGTCAACAAGTTGTGTGTATTTGTAATATTTGGTTTCTGGTGATTATTTGTTTCATTTTAAGTTAATAACTAATACGTTTTAAGTGAAAAATTATTAAATGCCTGTGTAGAAAGACTCAACACAATGACTGAAACCGGTTTTGTCAAAGCACAATCAGATAATCTTCCTAAAATAGACGTGTTTATGATGAGCACCTATTTCGCATCTAATTCAGATTTTACGTCTGCTGAACTCAGAGGAGTAAAAGCTGCGAGGTAAATAAGTTATATAAATTTTATTAAATGATCGTTTTCATGGTTTTGTTAATAATCGTATAACATAAATATAACCTAAAATATGCAGCTAAATTTATAATTTTGGTGACAGATCTGAACGAGAATCATATGGGGATTCAGCCATTGGATATGTGCAAGTAAAACGAGAGAAAGATGTATGCATCGTAAGGGGTAGAATAACACCAGAACATAATGTCCATCAAAAATGTTACAATGTAACAGCTACTTGCAATGAGACTGAGGGACATATTCTGTCTGTGCAATGTGAAGATTGTGCAGCACATTTAGGTAAGTAATTGCTATAAAACAGTGATTTAAATCTGATTAAGTAACAAAAACAATCTGGCCCTGTTTTATGTGTTTATGTAACCATTTGTCATCATACCTGTTTTATGTGTTTATGTAACCATTTGTCATCATACGATAGTATGTACCATGATGCAGTTAATTTTATCATTTAGAATAACCAAGATTATTTTGTTTTAGGTGGCTGTAAACATGCCATTGCTTTCTTAGCATGGCTTCACAGACGAAGTGAAGATCCACCGTCCACAAGTGTGGAATGCTATTGGAAGAAAGCTAAGTTATCTACTGTTGGCACAAGCTTAAAGTATATAAAAGCTAAAGAGATAACTTCATCTCAGAAGAGAGATATTGAGCCAAAAAGGCAGCAAAGTGCAAGTTTTCTGACTATATTGAAAAATCACAGTCTTGGTGTGAATGACATGGACAATCAACTTATGAAATATTTCAAAGAACCAAGCCCTTTAGAAAAATTGTCCATCCATTATTTGAGGAATAGGATGCCAAGCAAGCCATCAAATGCTCAAGAATTCATAGAATTTTGCGAAAAGAACATGGATATGACCTCATGCGAGAAAGCTGCACTTGCAACTATCAATCAAAGTGACTGTCCTCTGTGGTATGAACTTCGATATGCTCGGATAACTGCTTCAAAAGCTCATGAAGCAGCCCAATGTAAAACAATACAAGGTGCTTTAACTGAATCCATAATGGGAGCAATAAAATTAAAAGACACAGAAGCAATGAAAAGAGGTCGACTTCTGGAAAATCAAGTTTTAAAAAGGGTTGAATTACTAATGCAAATAAAAATTAAAAAGTGTGGCTTAAAATTACACTCTAAATACCCTATTATGGGAGCTTCCCCTGATGGAGTAACTGAAGAATATGTCACAGAAGTGAAATGCCCTTTAACAGACAAAGCAATGAGTCAATATATTAAAGACAACCAAATATCATTAAAATATAAAGCGCAAGTGCAGCTTCAAATGCATTTTTATAATAAAAGTAAAGCACTATTCTGTGTTGCAGCAAGTGATTTTGAGACTACTACAAATATTAATATAATAGAAGTGAAATATGAGAAGGAATTCTGTGAAGAAATATTAAACAAATGCACACTATTTTGGTCTAATGCTATTTTTCCATTGTTGTACAAATAAAACACATTTCTATATAATAAATTACTTTTTTATTAACACATCCTGTAAATTAATTAATCCACAAGCTATTATTATTACTTCATCCACTACCTGAATCAAGTGATGGTCAATGCATGCATGAGGCAATAACATATTAAACTCTCTTAGTCTGCCTATAACACATTCTACATTAATTCTTAAAGCTGCTATTTGCTTTGACTTCTTAACATCTTCTTTAGTACTCGGAGTGGACTGGGAAACTGAGGGTGGCCTGAGGCGCTGTCTCCACGAGCGAGAGAATCGCGACGAGTCCGCGCTTCTATCGTCGGGTAATCTCCACGAACGAGCGATTATTCCGCCAGCGTATCGTCACGACTCGTGACGGAATCGCAGCGCGTCCGCGACGACTCGTAACGGAATCGCCGATTTTGCGTTGTGCTTTTATTCGTTGAAAGGGTTCAGTTAGGTGCCAGACGAGAGCAAAATAAGTAGTCTCTCAGTCAATAAAATAATTCTTTATTATGGATGTAGTGTTATGGGGTGCTTGTGCAAGTACGCTAGTGAATATGCAGTTATTGTTATTAAGAAAGGAAAAAAAGCGCCGTTGGTGGACACATCCTATGCCACTACGTCGTGCATTTGACAGCGCGCTCGCCGCGCGCTCGCTGCGAGAGCGCCGCTAGTAGCGACGATACCGCGGCGATACGACGACGTTACGCGCGCACATTGCCACTCGTCGCATCGCCGCGATAACATCGCCGTGTGGAGACGCGTTCATTGAGAGTATATAGAAATACGTGGCACGACGATAATATCGCCGCGATTCTCTCGCTCGTGGAGACAGCGCCTGACCAAGCTACAGTTTTTGATTGCCAGCAGGCGTGTCAAATCTTTAAAACCCCGGTCTGCCATTACTGCTTTTTGAGGGGGTAAATGATCAAGGAAGCCACAATTTTCTACAATCATTAGGTCTGTTGCCCTGCCGCTATACCCATCAGATATGTAATTAACAAGACCATCTGGAGTACATGAAATTAAATATTTTAAAGTATTACACTTTTTATACTGTGACCAAGTTAGTGACTGATGCACAGCATTTGTTGGCTTTTCTATTTGAATCTCCAGACAGTCTATAATAGATACAACATTATCATACCTGGCCCTAAATGACATAGGTAATTTTTCATATATTTGGGATGGGGTTGGCCAAATTATCAACTCTTTCATTTTCTCTGAAATGGGTACTATACTTTTTGAAAATATTCTGCTGATTGTGCTCTGTGAATACCCAAAGTTAACTGCTAATAAACTAAAAGATTCATTTAATTTTATTTTCCTTAATGTAATTAAAATATCTATAGTGGCAAGCGGAATATTATCACTTAATAGTTTTATTAAGTAATAAGTTTTTTTTGGTAAACCTAAGAACATTTTTGGTTCCTTTTCTATGGCAATCAATGTGCCACTACGCATTAGGTTCTTAAATTGTATGTCACTGTCTAATTCATCTTCAATTAGCCAACTTGAATCAGATGAACTACGCTCTGGTTCATAATCAGTTGATATTACTGAGTACTGTGAATTAACACTTGTAAGAGAAGCACTGTCAGCGGGGTTGTCTGTAAATAATTTTCTTTTTATAGAAGACTGTGCAGATTTTAAGGGTGATGTTGATGTATTCCTAGATGATATAGAAAACGGAGATAATGCTATGTTATTTTTCTTTACTGATAAATTCACATTGACACCTTTGCTTCTATAAGGAACTTTACAATTAACTTGCACAGCTTTGTCAAACTGCAACATATCTGTACTATGTGCCTTTGATAAGATATTAGAAACAGCTTCCCCATCTGTTTTATTGTCAGAAATTTTTAGTTCTACATTTGGTATATGGTATGGTACTGAAGCTGTACTGGGACCTGCTGCCAATAGATCGGCTTCAGATATTGATGCTGTACTGGGACCTGCTGCCAATAGATCGGCTTCAGATATTGATGCTGTACTGGGACCTGCTGCTAGTAGATCGGCTTCAGATATTGATGCTGTACTGGGACCTGCTGCTAATAGGT